GGTCGCGACCCCTTTGGGGGTCAAACGACCCTTTCACAGGGGTCGCCTAAGACCATCGGAAAACACATATTTCCGATGTGTACAGAGCAGCTACTGTGTAGAAAGCAGCTGCTGTGTTGAAAGCAGCTGCTGTGTTGAAAGCAGCTACTGTGTTGAAAGCAGCTACTGTGTTGAAAGCAGCCGTATTGAAGGTAAAATGACACTCATGAATTATAATTACTGGGTAAAGAATTTTATGGTTGGGGGGTCACCATAACATGAGGAACTGTATTAAAGGGTCGTGGCATTAGGAAGGTTGAGAACCACTGCACTAGATGGAGCTGACAATAACAGGAGATAATCATATTAAAAACAATTCGGCAATCATTTGTGGTGTTTGTGCGAATGCTTAAGACATCTGCACAGCAAATTTTTTATATGTAGACCCCAAACTGACAAAAGAGCACTGATATGCTCTGGCTATATGTTTTCTTAGCAGTGTCCCAATCTACAGGGGAGATCATGATAAAAGAGGATGAATCAGAGGCAAAGTAAAAGAACAGGTTTGAAATCTAGGTGGAGTGTTCGCTGAATAATGTCTATCACCTATACCTGGTTTTCCAGGAAAAATACAAGATGGTGTTGACCCTGACACTGTAACAGGGAGTCCCAAGAGGAAACCATTTTCAGCAGCACATTGGTATCTTTAAGGTATGTGAAGTTTCTATGGTCTATGCACAAATTTTCTTTAGGGGAAAACAAGGTCTGTTGCAATTAGTTTTACATCTACTCTGAAGCAAATATACTCAACATGCTGATAATACAAACAAAGTTAATCCTTATCATGACTACCACAGACTGTTTATTTTACTTTATAATCAAGGGGAGGCATTTATTATTTTATCTTTCTTCTATCTAAATGCACCTTATTATAATAAAAAACCCACAAGAGCAAAAATGAAAGTCTTATTTAACTATACTTCATTGCCTGTAAAAACAGATTATTATAAAATATAATGCTTTGGTATTTCTAAGCAAAATTACAAAGTTTGTTTTTGGTATAAAACAAATAAAATGTTAAAGTAGACAGCACGGCATAGAAACTTAGATAATAGTTTTTCTATGTAGCACTAACAACAAAATCAGCTCTTCAAGGACAATTTTAATCTTCCCAGTTACCATGAAAGCTAAGTCTGACAGGCTGTTATTTAAATGTATTATAGTGTCCGTTTACGTTTTGTCATAAAAGTCACCATATGACTGTATTTAAGTAACTCAAAGATATTGTCACGCACATTCTGAAGAAAGTCTGCATTTAAATATAGTAATCACCTTGATTTAGAACATAGGAGTTTAATCTGCGAAGCAGAAACCTTAGACACAGGTTACATCTCAAGTAACAATAAGACCTCCAAAAGAGGCAGCATCGTTTTCCTGAGGAATCACAGTCATGAGAAACTTTAGGATAAACTAGTTGCAGAGTTTCTACTTCACTGGTCATCTTCCTGCCCTCAGCCTGCTAATTGGACAGTTAAAGTGTTACTAAACCCACAACAGTAAAATCAGTCTGTATAAGCATGTTTGTTATATTCACTGTGGAAGCTAAGGTGTTAATCCTCTGCATTGTGTATAAAGGCTGTTTGATCCTGTCTTCTCTGATCCTCCCCTTTTTTCCACAGTCCCCAATCCATCAGCTGACAGAACAGAGCCTTGGGGGCAAGCTGTACAAGTTCAACTTGGTGTGTATTGCTAGAGAGGGTCAGGGGTCCTGCAGCCTCATAGGACAATCAGTGGAGAAGGAAAACTCCTCCTACAAGCTTTAACCAGTGCTCTGCTGGACACTGATAAAAGTCACAAGACTGATCTAACTGCTGATGAGAAAAGGTATTTAGCAGTTTATATTTGCTAAAATAATCGCATTTCCATGTTCTGTGTACTGTGGGAGACCAGATAAAGTGAATGCAGGGTTCTGGGTTTAGTAACACTTTAAAGCCCAAATTAATTTTCAGGTGCATCAAAACAAAAGACATCCCAAAATATACAATTTACTTCACTTAAAAAGCAGTCACAGCAGAGTAAAAAAGCATGTGCCCTGCCAGCATGCTGCACAGAAGGACCCTTGCTCTCTGTGTGGAAACAGGGGTCTCTCTGTAGAGGTTTGACATGTGCCTGTTGAGTCAGAGCTAGAGGTCATGTTGAACCTATGCAGACCAACCTGTGCTTCCATGCAGATAGTAAGAGCAGTGCAGCATGCTGGCAAGAGACAACATTTTCTACTCAAGCTGTGGAAGTAAGTTTTAAAATAAAACTTCACCCATAATATAAAAGCTGTATTAAACCCAAAATAAAAAATGTATTGTATTGCAACTTACATTTTCTTAAAGGAGAAAGTACAGCCAAAGCTCCTTTGGCTGTACTTCTCCTGTGGATCACATGAGTGCAGTTCATTCTGCACTCCTATGACCTGTTTTCAGCTGACGTCACTCAGCCGGTCCAGGCTGGGGAAAGATCCCGACTTCATGCGGCCAGTAAGTCTGTTATTTTTCAACTTCCTTCAACAGACCAAGCTTTCCAGGAAAAGGGGCTGTAAGAGGGTTGGGACAAATCGTTTAGAACTGACAGAGTGGGGCTTGCAATTATCAGCTTTTATTCATTTATGTAAAACCTTTATCCCAAAGGGAAAAAAACTGTTCTTTAAAAAATGTGAACTGGAGTTTGGCTTTATTTGTTAGTTAAATCCCTCTAAATCTGCAAGTACATCTAACACTATCCTCTCCACAGATTGACAATGCTGCTGCCCAAAGTTGTCTTTGTTGCTACTTCATCCAGATTGGAGACACCCTAAGACAGGAATTGTGTTTTTTAGCTGGATCACCTGATGAAAATAAGGGAAAAAAAAAAGAAAACTAATACAGCCAAAGAATTTAAGGATTGCTAAGCATCATACTAATGATTTTTTGTTTATGGATGTCATACTGCTTTCTAGCAGTAAGGTGCTGAGAGTGGAAGCCTAGTGATGAACAATAAAGGGACATTGTCTTTCAATATGTCCGACAAAAGGGACTTAATCATGATTTCTGACAATGGAGATTTTGTTGTATTTTCAGCAGTTTAAGAGTTTCATCATAAGCACGCAATTGAATCACATAAGTACAGTGTAAATTGCATAATGATAAAATTGGGGTCTACACTACTTGCAATTTAAAGATAGCTACTGTGTAAATTGGTAAATTAGAGGATGTTTTATACTTTAAACAAAATGTCTACGTTGTTCTCTGGACACTTATTTTTATTGTTTTTCAATATTAAAAAAATATATATATATATATCACGCTTTGCATAGCCCCCGTCATCATGATGGCAGTTTGATATGTAAACCCCAGATTACACTCCTGGTCGCTCTTTTCATTGCTTTACCCACTGTGTTTCATAGGTTTAACAGTGGAAAATCAAAAGGGTTTCACATTTAACACAATGGGTTTCTAGAAAAGTTGGTCTCCCTTCCTGAGAATACATGGAATAAAGAACATCATAGTCATTATTACAGTATGATTGTATGTATCGCTGTACACATGGTGAACAGCCTATTTGCCATATAACTATCCCACTGTTATGTAAAGCAACAGTCTGATAAAAGGTCACCTGATCTAGGATAATATCACCTTACAGGAAAATCTGACATTGGAAAATTCTGTAGGCTGCCATTGTCGACCTTATACTTAACGTGTTACTAAACCCACAAGAGTAAAATCAGTCTGTATTTGCAGTAAAGCATGCTTGTTAAACTCATTGTGGAACCTAATCCTCTGCATTGTGTAAAAATGTTGTTTGATCCTGACTTCTCTGATCCTCCCCTTCTTCCAGTACCCCCTCTTATCTCCTGATAAGACATATCATGTGGGATCACTCTGCACATGATCAGTTCAGTGTGTATTGTTAGAGAGGTTTCCTTTTTTTCTTGGGAGAGTGAATGAGGGCCAATCAGCACTTTCTAGACAGAGGTCAGGGGTCTTGCAACCTCCTAGAGCAAAATGGAAACTCCTCCCACAAGCTTTAACCACTGCTCAGCTGAAGTCACATTACTGCTCTAACTGCTGATGAGAAAAGGTATTTAGCAGTTTATAGTTACTAAAATAATTGCACTTCCATGTTGTGTGTTCTGTGGGAGACCAGACATAGGGAATGCAGGGTCCTAGGTTTAGTAACACTTTAAAATGTTCCCTGGCTATCAGGCTGATCCAAAGCTTGAAAACATTCTGAATTGCTGAACTGGAACCAAGCAGGTTAAAAGATCTGACTTTACTTGATCCATACTGTATTTCACCTGGGTCAATTCTGATGCCACCCAGGCAACTAGTATTTGCAGCAATGACAAGGCCAGGCTACATATTTTTTAATTAATAAAAACAGCACACGTTTTAGTAAAGGTAACCCCTACTTAGCGAGGGACAATTAATTTAATTACAATAAAAATAATATTTTCTTCACCTACAGAGCAGGATAGTTCCACTAAACTCCAGCTGCAATATGAAGAACTTCATTAAACTCTTTTTATTGGAGAACTTTGTACAATATGTCAATCCAAGCAAAATAATTTGACATGGAATTATGCAATTTGAACTGCTGTGCTTTCTCTTTCTGTTACTATATTTATCCAGGAGAAGGAAATGCCCTACTATTCCCTTTTTTTCCCAACATGTCAAAAAATGGTGGAAGTATCATACAAGGTCAATTTATGTAACCAGCAAATGGACTGAATATTCAGAAACTGTTTATGTGTCAGGATCTTCCTGTTTTATCTGCATGTCTGTGAACGTCACTCGTAATTTCTCTACAGATCCTTGGTGACTCCAAAAAGAGAGAACAAACTGATGCAGTTATCTTGTCCTCTTGTGAGCATTTCTGTATTTCATTCAAAACACTTTTCTAAGCCCCTGTTCCGCCAGCATTGATGGAGAACTGATACCACAGTCCCTGGCTTCACAGAATCCTGGAACGCCTGCTTGGCCTGGAAGCCCCTGCTGTCCTTGAGGACCAGTGTAACCAGGAGGACCTTGGGATCCAGGTATGCCAGCCTTGGCAACTCCTGGGTATCCTGGAAAGCCTATAGAAAGGAAAAGCAAATGGTTAAAAATACAGGGATATTGCAGCCTAGCAAAGAAACTGGTGAAGAAACACACCTCCAGAATCACTGTTTAAAGAGTGTGTGTGCTATATTACAGGATATGTCAAGATGACAGAACTCACAGCTGAGGTACAAATGATGAAATTTCCACCGTCACATTTTCCATACCATGTGCTGACTAGCCTACAATCTGTAGAAAAACAAATCTGTTCCCAAAGGTAAATGTTCCTAAATTTCTGGGAACACATTGCTGCACCCCTTTAACATATCACACTTTAATTATAACACAGTTCAAATTAACTTACTTTACTTAGCTTTGATTTAACTGGAATAATATTAGCTGAAGTATATTTATATGTTTGCCTTGAAGTATATTTTTCTTCAGTCAATAATAAAATAAGGAAAATATAGCCTATGATATATGTTTTATAAGGCCAAGAGTAATATACAAAAGAGAAAGAACCCATAGCCAATTTTCAATCTTTGATAAAATTACAATAAATGGAAACCTGATTGGCTGTAAAGGGCTAGTTCTTTTTACAAATCATAATACACATATGAACGTTGATGCTAAATCTGTTGGTGCAATATGCTCAAAATATACTTCTCTACTAATTATATAAATATATGAAGAAACCAATCTTTACCAACTCAGTTAGAACAACCAATTAGCATCAATATATCCCACATATTATGGGATATTAGGCTGTTACTTGTGATGAAAATGATGGGACACAAGATGCCCTTATAACTTAATACTGGACCTCCTGATCTAATACATATGGCCATATCTGATGCATCAGGAACTCCAGCACTCAGGTCAATCTTCCAGATCACATAGTGGATAAAACATTAGGTTAAGAAATAGCAATATGCAAGGAGCAATGTTGCTTATCAGACTAAATAATCCAGTTCAGCCTTCCCCAACCAGTATTCTATGGAACCCTGGGTTTCCTATTGAGGTTGCTTGGGGTTCCTTGAGCAGTAGGCAGTGAGGAATTGATCACATACCTACACTAGCCACCAATGTAAGGAGACACTTTTATACTGACCTCTATTGCTGCTGGACAGTGCAGGAGGGTATTTAAAACTATCTGGCCAGGGATTCAAATATGTTAGATATATACCATATTGCTTATTCTTGTGTATAAAATATTCCACAACTTAGCTAAAATGTAACAGGGTTCCCTAAGCTTTCCTCTAGGGTAAAAAGGTTGAGAAAGGCTAGTCTAGTCTATCAACTAAACTTTCTATCTCACTCATTCAACATCTCTTAGATTCAAGTAGTGAATTTAAGAGAATCACATTTGCTTTTAACATGTTTGTAAATTTAGAAATCCAACAGACGCTTCATGGTTGCTGTGTGATACTACATTGCCCGTATGGAACTTGTATGTTCTCCTCATGTATGCATGGGTTCCTCTCAGAATGCAAAGACCTACTGACACAATTATGATTTGCAGAGATACCTAAGAGAGTGATTAGCTCCTAGATTTTGTTTACCTCTTGGTCCTTGGACACCATCTGGGCCTGGCAGCCCAGTGCCTGGGTCTCCTCTTGATCCTTTCCCGCCTTTTTCACCTGCATAGTGATGAACCATTAACACATAATATTAAATACAAACATTTATTGCTGAATATATGACACTTCTATATCTATTTACATTACAATTGTTGCATCAAAATTTTATTTTTGTGCATATAGATTAGGTACAGTGTTTCATACATAAAATATATGAATAATTCAATGTCAATTCTTGATCTCAGTAAACAAAATGAAAAATGATATGTATAATAGGAACAATAGTTTTCACAAACCGCCATTTCTTCAGTAACAGATTAATATAAAATTTGCAGAAAACAATTAGTGAACAGCACAAGATAAAGCAAGCACATTGGGAGATTATTCTCTAATATTTTTCTAACATTCTAATATATTGCTAATTTTGCAATATTTTTATATGTTCTCACTGCAGTTCAGTCTTACAAATTGTAAAATTATTATTCATAGCACACTTTTTTATTACCATTTAGAGGTTATATACAAGTTGAGCTATCGATTTTCTCAAATTTCATTTAGTATAGCCCACATACTGCAGTCCACATGGGCATTACAGAAATAATAATGAGTCAAAGCATTTTGTAAAGTTTTATAACAAAGATGCCACTGGGTTACAATTTGCAAAGATAGGCAGAACACATTGCAGTGGACGGGATCTAACTTAGTGAGGGAATGATCTAAGAAGGACATCAAATGGATTTATCAGATAGCTCCCTGAGGGCCCCTTTTACACGGGCAATCCGATCAGGTCTGCCTGTCAGATTTTGAGGCAGACCTGATTGGAAGGTCAATGCATTCAAATGGACAGGCGTGTGCAGACAGATTTGTGTCCGGTCACACCTGCCTACCTCCAGGTTCTAACTGGTCCACTACAAAAAACAGAAGGGGATTCATTCTCTTCCATTTAGGCTGAACAGATTGGAAGGTGGTCGGGTGTATAGCAGCAGTGAAGTCCGTTTACTCCTGGCCACCCATAGAGCAGAGCAGGATATGTCTCTGTCCATTGTGCAGAAACAGACAAGTCATGACAAGTCATGCTCCTGCTCTAATCAGCAGGGGATCTGTGAACTCTGGAACAGAATTCAACTCGTGTGACAGGGCCTTAAGGGTTTAACGTAGAATTAGATATACATTTTTACATTAGTAACTTTTAAATTAAAGTATTGTTGTATTGTGTATATAACATTATGTAATGCTATGCTATATTTGTATTTGTCTGAATATGGGCTATGCTAAAAAAGTAACAAGGCCTAATTTTATTGTGTGTTTAGCACTTTGGTAACACTGCAGTGATGGCAGATGTAGAGCAGCTTCTTCTGTCACCTGATGAAGTTATTCTGAAGAAACGTAGGACAGGAGCACTGATGTTACTGTCAACATGAACAAATGTAATGTGCCAGTTTATAAATTACCTTGGTCTCCCTCAGCTCCTTTTTGCCCTGGAACACCAATTGGTCCTCGGGGACCACGTTTTCCATTAATTCCTGCAGCCCCTGATTTGCCCTAGAAAAAAAATTAAAAAGAACAGGTAGAAAACCTACAGAACCAGGATTGAGGTACAAATTAGGATTGGGTGATTTATAAATAAACAAATATCCATCATTTTGGGCTAAGAACCTCTGTCAGGTTTTCATTGCTGTCTGTGTCTTTGAAGAGATATTCATGCTCAGTTGCCTAGCTAGTGTCAGGCACCCTGGGTACAATTTATGTGGAGTGCCTTAGGTCTCCGACGCCATTATTACCCATACTGCAAAGCCAACAGATGCCTGTCACAAGCAGTAAACATCAGAGCTGAAGGAAGCTTATCCTAGCTCCTCTTTAGAAATGACACAACATGGGGGAGCCTAGAAGGAAGGACATCCCATGGCCATCTGTTATGCTGTATCTGACATCTGCAAGTTTCAGTGAGTAGGGGGAATATTGTACTGGGGAACACAAATGGGGGGGGACATTTGAACTGCTCCTCCCACCAGCTGTTGATTGACAGAAGCTGGAGCCTGCACCGTCTGGGCAATGAGGACCTGAAGCTGGCAGTGGTAAAGAAGGGAAAGGGTGTTGTGGGACAACCTTTGGGCACAGATAGAAGAAAATGTACTGGGTAAAATAGCAAGGCACGACATTATTACTCTCTGTAGGGTGCCTAAAGGTGCCCCAGGTCTTTTACAATCCTACTAATGCCCCTGTTCTTACTCTCTCTGACAATTTTTCAGGAGGGGATTTTTTAGGAAGTTCAATAATTAATAGCTCAGCAATAGTATGCATAGGAAGATTACAATAACTTCCATAAACCTGGTTATATCCAATGCTAGATCAGAGTGGTATGAGATCACAGATGGGAGATTGCTGTTTTTAGATAACATTAATTTGCTTAACCACTTGCCCTCCTGGGATTTACCTGACCAGGCCATTTTTTGTGTTATGGCGCTGCGTTACTTTAACTGACAATTTCTTGGTCATGCAACGCTGCACCCAAATGAAATTTAGGTCCCTTTTTTCCCACGAATAGAACATTCTTTAAGTGGTATTTGATCGCCTTTGTGGTTTTTATTTTTTGCACTGTAAAAAAAGACTTATAATGTGACTGCGAGACTGCAGCGATTCTGACACTGGGGGGAACTGACTTGGTGTCACTGACATCCCCAGTGACACCAATACAGTGATCAGTCCTAATAAAAAAACACTGACACTGTACTAATGGCACTGGGCAGGAAGGGTTAACATGTGGGGCGATCAAAGGGTTAACTGTGTGCTGTGTGTGTGTTTTACAGTGGGGCTGTTTTTTTGTGCTTCACTGTAAGCACACTGCTTTGCATGGGAAAGAGCTTTTTTTATTTGCAAACAGTTCTCCCCCCCATTGGAGTTGCTTGGCAATCATCGGGTGCCAGTGAGTAATCACCGGTTGGGACCCGGAGATTGACAGCCGCGGGTAGAGCAAGGGCACCCACCTCGCGCGCGCCCCCTACTCGGAAATGCAAAATCACGTATATATACTGTACATAATTTTGCGCACCCGTGCTGCCCTGTAGCAGTACTTCTACTATAGGGCGGATGGGAAGTGGTTAAAGAAGAACAGGCTGTGCAGGCTTCTCTCCTGTACTAAAATTGCTTACGCCAATTTCACTGTACACTGTGAGCTTAGAAGCTGCAGTAATTCAGATAGAATCTGCCTCAATTCTTTTTTGGGGGATGTCCAGTGTCATGTAGCCCTTTCATCCTCAGCCTAACTGTTCCTGGCCCACCCCTTTCATTCATTGAATTGCAGACCATCCAGTCAGTAAGGCTTAGCATCACATGTGGGTGTTATCTAGTATGGCATGCATGCAAATGCCTAGTAAGGTCTACTCCTCCAGACTGACATCGACCCATCCAGGCATCTTAAAGTGGAACTAAAGTCTCACTGGTAAAAAACCAACAGCTTTAAACCAGAGTGGTTTTGAAAGATGGAGGTACCTGATCCCATATATTAACTTGGAGCATGAAGCTCAGTTAAAAGAGGCAATGCCATCTTGCTCATTCAGAGCTAGATGATAGTAGGGTTGATTTACTAAAGGTAAATAGGTCCAAAACCACTAAACAATGCAATTATGTATTTATTTCAAAATTCTTAAGTTTAAGTGCAAAGAGTTTATATATCTACATTAAAATTGATTCAGCCTCTTGTAATACCCTGTACAGCAGCACCGGCAGAGGAAGGGTAGTACGAGGAGTCAGTTAGGTGCCCTGCATTCAGACGTGCCGGCAAGGAACATGCTGACAGGAGAAAAGAGCAGAAGGATGGCATCACCTGTTTGTTTCTGGTCCTTCTTCATTCAGTCACAAACTTGGGGCAAGGGCATGACCAAGCTATGGTCATGTCCAGGCTGGCTCTCCTATTTGGCTGGGTTGTGTAAATCACAGAACTAGGTGGACAGAAGTAAAACATCTCCTGTCTGCATTTATTTATTTATTACAGATATTTGTATGCCACCAACAATTTTTAAGCAGCAGTGCTTTCCATATTTAACGGTCATATCAGTCCTTGTCCTCAAGGAGCTTACAATCTAAGGTTCTTATCTCACATTCATACATTAACAAACATAGGGTCATAACCTCAAATATGCACATGGAGAACATGCAACCTCTGCACAGGTGGTGTCCCAGTTGGGATTTGAACCAAGGACCCTAGTGCTGCAAGGCAGATTTTCTATGTACTGTACAGTACATCCTACAACAAATGGTCTACCAAGGGCCACAAATAGAAATGACTAATTTTAAGTACTTTGTGCCAAATAAAGTGGAAATCATAAACAAAATCATTTAGAAAATACCCTTACAATGTAATTCACGTGTTCTTACCTGCTTTCCAACTTTACCAGTTGCCCCTGGTGGCCCAGGAGGTCCAATTAATGATACATTGGCTGTTGGGCATGCACTTGTACATTTTCCTCTGATACCGGCTGCATAATTTGATGTTGCCTCGATAACTACTTTGCGGCATAATTCATACACCAAATTATCTGGCATGTCAGGTCCCTAAAATATTAATAGAAAATTAAATTAATTTATTATATGATATAGTTATTCAACCTATGTACAACAAGTTCCAAAGGATATAAAAACCCAAGAACAAAAACTGAATATATACTGCAGCTTACTAGCCCTTTGTTGTGGTAGCTTCATTAGTTTTTTTTTAATTTGAGGCTTTGTTTTCCTTTTATTTTCTTTTGGTGATCCTGCCAATAACACATTTCCTGTCCAACTCACTCTATCTATGAAGAAAGCCACTATTGTCACGTCAGGCTTCTCTTCTAATTTAGAGTACAGTACACATTAATCCCTCCTCATCTCATCATCTTCCTTGTAGTAGACCTTTAGGGCCCTTTCACTCCTAACGCAGTGGGATGCAGTTGGCTGCATTTTGGACTGCACTCCAACTGTATAGACAGTCCAAAATCCAGACTATTCTATGGGCATAGTTCACACCATTGCAGTGCAGCACAGTGAAATGTAGAAAAATACAGCATGCTGCATTTTTCAGCATTGCAAACATGCAAGAACGCATGCAAACACATGTAAACGCACTGCAACGCATCACAGTGCACATAGAAGCCCAAAGAAAGAAAGAAGGAAGTGACCTCACAGGACAAATGCAGATAGAAAAAGTGCCTCAACTGCATGTAAATGTATGTCAACTGCATGTAAAACGTTCATCAAATGCATGCATAGGTACAAGGAAAAAACATGCAGTAGATGTGCAATTTCTAGTGTGAATGGGCCTTTATTCCTTTAGCAACCAAAATCATTTGTGACTCATCAGATATTCTTCCGAATGGCTATGGCTAATGCATTACTGAATTGAAGTTTTGCTTTTGTTTTTATTTAACCCCTTGCCATCTCTAGACATATATGTGGCCTCACTGAAGCCGGACTTCTTCCGTGAGGCTGCATATATTTGTATATAGGTTTGTGCTAGGAGCGCGCTGTACAGCACTCAGCACAGAGACCAGGCTCTCACTGACAGTCCTGGGTCTCATACTAACAATCGGGAACCAGAAGCCCCAGATTACTGTGATTGGCTTTCACAATAATCAGTCACTGTACAGCCCAGGGGTGGACTGACAACTCATGGGGCCCCTGGGTCCTCGCCCACACCCAAAAAAGCCTATGAAAAAGACAATGAAAGGTGCCAGGGGCATCTCATGGGGCCCCCTACTGCCCCCGGGCCCTCGGCAATGACCGAGTGCTCAAATAGTCAGTCCGCCCCTGGTACAGCCCGTACCTGTGTTTTTTTCTTCTCTGACTGGGGAGAAAGATCACTCGTATCTTTCTCTCCTTGCTAGGGAGAAAAATGTAAAAAGAAAAAGTGTGTAAAAAAGTAAAAATAAGATAAAGAATAGCTAGATAAAGGTTTGATCTAGGTCAGTGTCCGGATTAGTGTTTAGGTCAAGGTCAGGGTCAGAAGCCAAGGTCAGGGTCAGTATATTTTAGGTAGAATTTTTTTTTAAAAAAGCATTTTTTTAATTATCATCAGTGTCAGAGGTTTATTTACTAAATCTGGAGAGTGCAAAATCAGGCTCACTTCTATATGGAAACCAATCAGATTCCAACCTCAGCTTGTTCAATTAAGCATTGGCAATTGGCAATTGGCAAAAAGGTTTCCATGCAGAATTGAACCTGTCAGCGCTTTACAATAAAACGGGAGACAATACAGCAACAATACAGTTCAATAAAAGAGGGTTAGGAGGGCCCTGCTCCTTGGAGCTTACAATCTAAGAGCTTTAGTAAAGAAACTCCTAACACCCAGGTCACATCGAAGCCGATTTTGAAATGTGCGACTTACAGTGAAGTCGAACGATTTCAAAGTCGGGTGACTTGGCGATCTGAGGTGCAATTTGCAAGACATCTGACACAGATGTCTATGCAAATCGCACCAAAAGTAATGCATGTACTACTTTAGAAATCGGTGCGGCTCCATCCAAGTCGGAACCGCACTGATATGACTGCTCTAATAACAGACAATAGGGTGTGACTTGGCATACGATTTGCAAGTCACAAGTCGCACCCGATGTGTCCGGGTGTTAATGTCAATGTCATTGTATTTTGGGTAGGATAAGAAAGCAAAATGCGCACTATTGTTTCTGGGCCCTACTACGGGCACAAACAACAAATAACATACACATATGTGAAATTGCTGTGATTGCACGGAAAATGAGAATTTATTTCGGGTTGTCCTTTTGGTGGTAACGTATGGTTACAGGAAAAAAATGTACAGCTAAATTTTTTAAAAATATATAATTTTGTACTATTTTGGGCCAGTTTTCCTTCTATAATAAAAAAAATTATGAGATATCAATTACTATTTACCACCAAATGAAAGCCAATAATCCACCTGGATATACAAAGTAGTGGCCATGATATATGCAGTTTTACTAACACATCTTAAGATTGTAAGCTCTAACAAGCAGGGCCCCCTGAATCCTCCTGTATTAATTTGTGTTGTAATTGTACTGTCTACTCTTACGTTGTAAAGCGCTGCGTAAACTGTTGGTGCTATAGAAATCCTGAATAATAATAATAATAATAATAATAATAATAAAGTTGAAAAATGGTGTTCAGGCTTTAGGATTTATTTTAAGCTTCGTCATGCAGAGGTTAAAGAGAATCCATAAATCTGTATATGTTTTCTTTATTTACCATGTTCAGGGCTACAAATAAACTTTTTTTTTTTTTTTGAGTCAGGTAGATATGAAAGAGTATATATGATTACATACTATTTTTGGACTGCAGTTGAAGCTCAAAGCTGTTTTTTTCACATTTTTAGCCGACTAATCTTAACACCTTTCCACCCAGCCCTGGCACCCTTTTAACAGATCTTTTATGCCCAGGGGGTGAGGACTGCCCAATCACGTGACCACTGTGATTGGCTGTCACAGTGCTCATATGATCAGAAGGCGGTCGTGCTGGTTCCTGATCATTACTAGAAACTGGGAGTTGACTATGGCAGCTCAGTCACTATGCATGGAGCTTGAAGCGAGTGCGCTTTCATCACAGAAACCTCGGCTGCCCATGGACACCTATTTGCATTAAAGTCCACCCTCTTTGCCACCACACAGATGCATTACGTGGACTGCAAAAAGTTAACTGCTTTACAAAAAAGGCCTGTTGCTTTACAGAAATCAAAGCCAAAACTCAGACTATACACACAGCTGATTGTGTCAGAGGAATCTCCCATCCTCCTCCCTCCATCTCTCTCACAGCTGCTTACAGAATTCAGTTGAAAAAAATGGAAAGGAAAAGGTTACTGTGGTTACTATAGTACTTTTTTATTTATAAAATGCTCTGTGTACCCATCAGTGTTATGGGTGCATCCAATATAAAATGTTGATTGGAAAAACAAAGATTTTATAAAAATAATAGATTTACAATATCCGTTAAAATGGTAGTAAAGCCACTTTGCTAATTTGTTATAATATATATTATATATATTATAATAAAGCTTACCTGTAGGTAAAATGAATATCTCCTAAACGTACATCGTTTAGGAGATATTTGGGTTTTTCTACAGCCGGCGCATGCGCTCTGAAGGAACGGCATACCTGTGCCATTCCTTCAGAGCACTGTGCTGTGTCCCGAGACTTCTGAGCGTGAACCTGGAAGGAAGACCGGGTGAAGAAGGAAGCCTCTACATTGGTGGCAGCGTGCTACTGGAGGGCTTTGTTTTAAGGTAAGTTTTACATAATGGCTAGTATACAATGCATGCTAGCACATTATGCCTTTACCTTGCAGGGGATTTTTTAGGTGGATGTGGTTTACTACAGCTTTAAAACATAACTGGTTTAGTTAAATGCAATTGAAATTACCTGGCAAGTATAAGCAAACTTTATGCTTCCCAGATCAATTTCTTCTCCATTGAAGGCCTCATGCACACTGGGCATTTAGACCTTCTGGTTATTCTTCCATGGGTGCATAATGCTGTAGACATTTGTACCAGTAGGTGCACTGCCCAGACCTGTCCAGCCACTCAGCTTCTAACCTCAGCTTGTTCAATTAAGTTTTGGCAACAAAACCTGAAAGCTGATTGGTTTCTATGCAAAAATGCACCTGATTTTGCACTCTCCAGCTTTCGGAAATAAACCCCACTGTATGAATGGTATCAATAAAATCTTTACCTGCATTCATATGCATTTAGAAATGTCCTATAAAAGCATGTATGTCATTGTCAATGTAAAAGAAGCCTTACAGTTTTATTTTAATGGCAAAGGTAAAAACATTGTTGCTATTTATTTAAATGTATTTAAAAGTAACACAGCATGCTGTCACATGCACACCACATTTACATTAATAGGCATATAAAGGCTGCTCCAATCACATCTATTTTTTTTTAAAGTAAAATGTTATAGTAAGTTTCTTATATATTGTTATATATAATAGATAACTGAAAAAAGCAACACAGAGACCTTGATGCACAATATACACAACGTGATTAAAAAACTCTGACTTGCACTGAGCATGCATGTGCTGATGAGTGTAAGATAACAGATCAATCAGATTTATAGTCAATAATCCAGTTGACATGGACATGTGCTTGTAAACTGGCCAGATTGAATAGTGCTTTTGTTATGTTCATTTCATGGACTGATCAGCACAATCTGGACCACCATGTGGGGAATCTTGCTGGTACTGAATTTGGTATACTAAGGAATTACAGATATTCTAACCATCTTTCTAAAGACTTGGTCACATTGTCTTCTTGGCGTATACATTTCTCTAAGGATTTGTACTGGAAAATATTCAGCATTCAGCTAAACAAGCAGCGCCTGACACAAAAGTACATTAATAACCACCAAGAGTATCATGTAATCTTTCAAGCAAGTTCAACACTTGCAAGAACCTGCCTACTGTTTTCACAAAACTGAAAAATGTGGTTCATTCCCAAAAATACACCC